GCATACTAGCGTTTCCCTGACCCTTCGCCTCTTTCTGGCCGTGACGTCATTTCGCGAGAGCTTTGCTTGTTGATGGATGTTGACGATATATACGAGGGCAAAGTATGCAACAGTAAATGTGCGTCTTGGAGACAATTCTAGGTATCAGTATTACATGCATAAAGACATATTAGTTATACTTACTCGATGGATAGTTGACCATTTGGTCCCTGTGGTTTTGGCTGCCTCCTCCAATTTATTTTAGGCACATGAAAAAAGGTATCCAGCACTGCCCTGTTGATCAGAGGGGGGAAATCCTCTAACATAGTTACACAGCGTTTGGTAGTTTCTGTATCATCCCAGGACACATTGAGACCATGAATATTGGGCAACAGGTCCCACTTGTTGCAACACAGACATTCTTCCTCTGTGGGCATGGAGTCACAGCAAGGAGCACCACCAGTCCTCAGAGATTCGCGTTTGTGCAGCCGCTGCTTCACCCTCGTCTGCTCGTTGGCCCTCTCTCTCTATCCTCATCTGCTCTTCAGTTTGTAGGAGCTCGTCGTCCGTATACTCGGGCTCAAATAAGTACGGGCGGCCATCGAAATAAAAGGGCTCATCCTCATTCTCGAAATCGGGTAAATATGCAGCCATGATACAGATGCAGTAAAACTCTCAACTGTACTCCGGGACAACCAGTGCCACTCTCAGCGGCGCTCAGCATGGCTCCTCTGTTTTCTTCCAGCAACAAGCAAAGCTTTCGCAAGATGACGTCACAGCCAGGAGGAGGCGAAGGGTCAGAGAAACGCTTAGTATGCTATTTACAGAGATAACACCGGCAATCTGAACCAGTCAGTGGCGAAAAAAGCACTTTTAATGCGCAAACTTATACGGGACGCATTTGCCCCCGTTACCGTTGTAGCTCGTTTCGCGGCTGCCGGCTGCATCCGCCTCCCTCAATACTGAATCAATTTTAATACGAGTTGTACCTATGAATCATACGCACACATGCACATGGGCCCAGGTTGAAAAATACTGAAGTTATCCTTTAAACATTTGATTGGGAAAACTTGTAGGTGGCAGCTTGGGATGAAGTGATTCCGGGAGCCCTTTGGTCAGGGCAAGTAAGTCCCAGGTTTCTTAATGAATCATGTATGGGAGATGATCATACATTGGTATCTTAGCATCAGGTACAACATGAAAGTCTAATCTAGGCTAAAAGGTATAGAAGAAAAAATATGTACAGTCTTCCATGGCTACTTGTAAATGTTGCTGGGGTTTTTTTTCGTGGAAACAAGTGCATTCCACAAGGAAATTTAGCCGAATAACACCACTGCCATGGTGACACATCAGACCTTTTTCACTGGACAATGCTTATTTCCATGGCAACAGCATTACTCAAAATTAGTGCATTAGTAGAGTGAGCTCTTATTCCCAGATAAACAAAAATCACTAGCAACCAGCTTTAAAAAAGTGCGAAGGTCCGGGTGGTAAAGCCTCAACAGTAGCACTGTGGGCAAAGAGCAAGTGCAGAATGTCAGTCATCAGTACGTCATTAATAATAATGTTGCAGTCAAGTTTACATTTGTAGGGTAAATTACGCTTTTAAATATTGCTTTTACTGTAGTTTTTCTAGAAATAGTGTGTTTTTCAACACAGTTATTCTTGGCCATATAAAACTTGACATAATTTTCTGTTTTTCAAGCAGTTGTAATTCAACATATGCCTTTTTTTTTAATAGTAATATAAGACTCTGATCTGATGTTTATGAGGTTTACACTTGGATCTTATTGTGCAGTAAAGTTTGTATCACATCCAATTCCATTTCATGTTAAAAAGATCTTAAATTTAGAAGTAGCTTGTAAACGGAGCTGCTGCTTCTATCACTTGTAGTGCTGTGAGGAGGTTCGGACTCTCTGCAGCGCTGTCTGGTGACAAAAGGCCAGAGGAGAGAGGGGCAGGCATGGAGCCCTCCCCCTCTTTTTCTCGACGAGGGAAGCGGGCAGAGAGCGGGTGTTGGAGAGGTGTGGGGGGTTGAATGGGACCAGCTAGTGACCTCAGGCAGAAAGAATGTCCCCGTTTGCTCAGTCGGCCCGCTCCCCTAGCAGCGCTCCACACAGTCATCAGCGCTGGGGCCTTTGTGTTCACCTTCCAGACCCCAAACTCCAGAGCAGAGGCCACAGACGAGCACACAGCAACACCTCGCAGCCCCTGCTGCTGCACTGTTCGCTATAATCTCACTGTTTCTACAAGTTTAGCCTCTCCAAAGTCTCAGTTTTGAAGACAGTGTCTCTGAAGAGTTGCTTCACATGGAGTTCTTCCTCAATCCTGCTTTTCTCTTTGCTCCACACTACCAAAATGCTAATTGCTCCTCAGTCTCAAAGTCTTAAAAGTCTCACCTATTGTGTGGACAGCATTCCTCGGCTGCTCCAGCCATTTATGTGGGTGTTAATGTATTGCCATCTCCCAGCATTGTGACACTGTGTTTGTGTGTGAAATACAACGATTGCATAAATTTCAGTGTTAAAAAGAGAGAGGGGTGTGGGTGTGGGTGTGTGTGTGTGTGTGTGTGTGTGTGTGTGGGGGGGGGCATGTCTTTCCCATGCTGGGACACCCATAAAATCAATGGTGGCTCAGGACGACAATTAAATCTGACTAATCCAGCAGATTTATGAGATCCGTGTGCTTCGTCTGCCAGGCTCGGGTGAAGTCATCGCGCTGCCAGAGAGACACCGCTGCTGTTAAATGAATTTGAATGGGCGAGCTGTGAGGGGTGCATGGCAGGGGGCTGCAGAAGCCAGCCCGCAGCAGAATTTCCTTTTAGATTGGATTCAGACTTGGATTCTGATGAATGAAGACTCACCCAGAGGAATTCAGCCTTCACACTTGGAGCTGGAAGCTCAGTATGCTGAACCTGGGCCCGCCATGGTGTGGACATGTTTCTGTGGATGTGTTTTTTCAGGGAGTAGGACTGCAACTATTGATTGTTTTCATGATATTTCAGACAACCAGAGTGATGTCTAAAAGTTGCTTCATCATTCTAACCAGCAGCCAAGAATATCTCACTGTTTATTTGATACTGATGTGGAACACTGAGTGAAGCCAACAGTAGCAGCAAAAGTTTGGTCTTGTATCTTTATGACTGAGCAAAAGTTGTAATGGATAATCAGACTGTTGCGTTTCAATAATGCTGATTGATTAATCATTTCAGCTCTGGTGTTAATACATGTGTCAAAGTTAGGGACATCCTCTGTCCAGCCTGCTGTTGTTGGTCTGTCTGTGAACAGTGCACAATGGCAGGGAAGGGAAGAGGAGAGATTTTGGGGGGAGGTTTGGAAAGCAGCATGCTGTATTGATTGTGTATGGGTTGTGAATGGAATCCTGGTGGGATCAATGGTCGAAGTAATTAAACTGAGGCGCATATGTCCGGCCAGCCATCTGCTCTACACTGACCTGCTGTTGTGGGCATAAAGTAAAGATACAGGAAGAGGTATACAGTATGATGTATTTTTCTTTTTAAGACATTTTTGGGGCTTTTTAGCCTTTAATGTATAGGACAGACAAGCGTAAAGGGGGGAGAGAGAGAGAGGAAGTGACATGCAGCAAAGGGCCACAGGCTGGAGTCGAACCCGGGCCGCTGCGGCAACAGCCCTGCACATGGGGCGCCCGCTCCACCACTAAGCCACCAGCGCCCCCAGTATGATGTATTTTGACTGAGAGTGTCAGAAGTTATTCAAAATTGTGTGCACGTTATTTGGTGAGCTATGTCTGATATCTGTTCATTAATTGGCTGAGTGTGCTTTTAGCATGCTGCTATAACAACCTCTTCGCTTTTGGGAAGGCTGCCTGGCTGTAAGGATTTAGTCTCAATAGGATCCCAAGAGCATTTTAAGATCCGCTCGCACCAAAAACTGGTGAAGGGCAATGAATCTACACGTCTCTGCAAATTGTTTGTGTCTAGAAGCTTGGTGACGGAGCAATTATACTTGCAAGTGAACTGCTGTAGTTGGTGAGCTGACTGCTAACTTGGTAGCTGGTCAGTCACAGTTGCTTCAAGAGCTTCTCTCTTTTATCTCTGTAGTGTTCTCTTTACACCCACATGGCGTTTGGTTTAGCTTTGTACACTATTTCTTGTAATGAAAGTTTTTTGAAGAGGGAAAATAAGCTCTCTGAGCTAGCAAGCCTGCTAAAGATAGGCCAGCCTGGTCGCTAACAAAACAGTAACTTCACTGAGTTTATTCAAAAGATGTGTTTGTACCACTGACTCCTGTCTCATAACTGTCAACTTTGCCATTGCTCTCTTGTGGCACTGTTCCATCTTCACAGAGGAGGTTGTAACATAGCTAATGAAGCTATGATAGCTTCCCTTATTTTGGACCCTCCAACTTTCCATCCCCTCCAAAGTAAGCACCGTCCAGATGGCTTGCTATTGGTCAACAGAACATGATTCTGCAGGTCAAAGTTCATCAAAGCTGAACGCAATGCAAAAAACATTTGCACTGATTATGATTTTAAATGCTGGCTTGACCCAGATGCACATGGGAGAAATTTACCTTCCTGGCAGAAATCTATTCATTTTACCCAAACCATATTTTTTCCTTAACCAAAAACAGACTTTCTGGCAGAGAGCCCTTAAACCTGACAGCAACTGGGATTTGGTGCGTTTGGGCACTCAGGGTGGGTGTTAAGGCCTGGCTCACATTTATCACTCCAGAGCTTTGTGCAGGCCAGTGAAGTTCATTCACACCAAACTGAGAGGACATTTTCTTGATGGACCTGACTTTGTACATTATGGTATTATCAAGTTCAAATAGGGAAGTGCAGCACACAGTTGCCTAAACTATTGCATGCTGCAGCATTAAAACTTGCTTTAAATGGAACCAAGATGTAAAAAATAGCCCTAAACCAAAAATGAATAAAAGGGGCGTCCACATATTTTAGGTCATGTAGTGTATCTGCAGCGGCACATTGACTAAACTCTTCTTCAGTATGGTGATTTCATTGGTTGCCTCTCTTTTCAGGACGGAGGCTGCGAGGGAAGGCGTTCTACAATGTCAACGGGAAGGTCTACTGTGAGGAGGATTTTCTGGTAGGTCACCTGAATGTTCATGATTATGCATTTTGTTCTGTGATGAGCAGATCAGTAGGTAGCACCATATCATCCCCTCACGGTGGGGTGACAGAGGGCTGGGGCGGAGCAGAGAGCGAGGGATTAGGATCTCAGGCTACATTCTGCAGCCCTCCAGAGAAAATGGACATGGCAGCTATAATTAGGAGTTTAGCACCACCCCTCCAATTCACGCTAATTTCCCCCAAATTTCCCCAAGGAGCTCAATTACCCTGACGAGCTGCTCCTCAGCACTTACAATTTAGACCAGGAGGATGGCAGCTGTAGCTTTCAGGTTCCTGGTCCATCTGCTTCAGGTTAAGAAGGCAGACATAGGGCCTGCTCTCACGATGCCTTCGTGCCTTTGATGATATTGTAGACGAAGATGTTAATTGTGCAAATTTAAAGAATTCAATTTCTGATCATTATTGTTTTGTGTACTGTAGCTGATGAAGAACATTTGAATAAAATGTGACAGCCAATTTCCAAACATTGAGGAAGGAGCTCACAAAAGGTTCCTGTAATATAACTGTTGAAAACTGCTTTGTGATCCAAACAACTTCACAATGCATGGCCTCATCTGCTGTCAACACTTCCTGTTTAAAAGCAGCTTCCCCCCCAGGGTTCAACTTGTTGATCTGTTGGGAAATATTTAAATTCCTGTTTCGCACTTCACAATCACTGCCACTTTGTGCTAAACTGATGCTGGAGGTCAGGTGACAGGATGAGACTAATCTTCTTCCGTGTCTCTGATACAGCTAAGACTTGATTAGTCTGGCTTGCCACCCCAGGGGTGTCCCCAGGGTCAGGGGAGGTAGTGGCAGATGGTAGATCTGGAGTGGAGATGTCAGGGCAAGGGACAGCCTGCCCATCACCACCTCCCACCTCCACCTGGTAGCCGTGTCTCCTCTACCAGCACCCCCCACCCCGAGTCATCAGTTCACGACCCTGAGGGGATTGTGAGCTGCAGATGGTCACCTTCATTATCTTCCTACACTCTAGGTTAAAGGGAAAGGAGCTACTGATGTGACACAAGGTGTTTTGTTTCCTGTAAGACACTTCACACCCTGTTGGCCCTGTGGAGATGCTCATCAGCCAGCAGTCACACGGCAAATCCCGAATGTGGGTAGATTTAAGTGTATAAATATGATGGACCTTGCAGAAAAACAGCAGTAAAATAAATATTAAAAACAGCATTAGATTAGGCACCACAGGCTGAAGCTGCCCGATGAGCTTGTCAGCTGAGATTCTGTAAGAAAACATTTTCATGTTCATTTAAAGAGCGCAGCAGCACCCTCTATAGATGAGTCTTGGACTGAAAGAAGTTCATGCATCAGGTGTGAAGCTGCACATGTTCTACTGATTGCATTGCTACTAGAAAATTCATTGCTGAAGATAATAAATCCTGTGTCTTGTTTTTCAGTACTCTGGTTTCCAGCAGACGGCTGAGAAGTGTTTCGTGTGTGGTCACCTCATCATGGAGATGGTAAGAGCTTTATCAAATACAACATGTAAAGCAAAGAATAAACAGATGTGCAATATATCAAATCTTCCATATTCTTGAGACAGTATTTTGTTTATGGTACGTAAAGCAAAGTAACTACTCTCACATTCTTGGGCATTATTTACTCCTGCGCCCTGAATAATAACAACATTGCCAGTGCAGTAGGTACATGTTTCGCATCACACTCACATCGCTCCCAAGTCTTACCGTTATCTTGTGTCTGTTTTTCCTTTTGTGTGTGGGCGTCTAGATTCTCCAGGCACTAGGCAAGTCCTACCATCCTGGCTGTTTCCGCTGTGCGGTGTGTAAAGAAGGTCTAGATGGAGTGCCTTTCACTGTGGACGTTGAAAACAACATATACTGTGTCAAAGATTATCACACGTAAGGAGAACAGCTCTCTGCACACTAATAAAATGTGTTCACTGCATGACAGGATATGGTCTGGGATTTGCAAACAAGCTGTTCAGCACCAAAAGGATAGTTTATCACAAAATGTACGGTACTCACTCTACTCCTGAAACTGCATTTTTTCGGGTTGTCGGAAAACAGTGTCTCAGGAATGCCTAAAGGGAATTTCTTCAAATTTGGCACAAATGTCCACTTTGACTCAACAATGAACTGATTAGTTTTTGGTGGTCAAAGGTCAAGTCTGTGTGACCTCATCTGTCTCATTCATGTGAACGTGATATCTCATCAATACCTTGAGGGAATTTCTTCAATTTTGGCGCAAATGTTCACTTGGACTCGAGAATTAACTGAATAGATGTTGGTGGTCAAAGGTCAAGGTCACTGTGACCATGTCTGTCTCATTTTTGTGAACGTGTTATCTCAAAAACACATTGATGGAATTTCTTTAAATTTGGCACAAATGTCCACTTAGACTCTGTTTTAGACTCTGATTGGATTTCAGTAGTCAGAGGTCAAGGTCAGTGTGACCTTGCATCCGTCTCATTGTCGTGAACACGATATCTTAAGAACACTGAGAGAATTTCCTAAAATTTTACGCAAACGTCAGCTTGGTCTGAAGAATAAACTGATTAGAATCTTGTGGTCAAAGGTCAAGGTCAGTGTGACCTCACAAAATATGTTTTAGGCCATAACTCGAGAATTTATATGCTAATTATGACAAAACTTCACACAAATATCTAATAGGATAAAATAATGAAGTGATGACATTTTGTATCCAAAAGGTCAAAGGTCAGCTTTGACCTTGACATCATAATGTTCTGCATTAAACACTTTTCTGGCCATTATTCAATGTCATATCGTAGGAACAAACGATACTGAATTGGTGACACTCATCTAGGGTGCCCACCTTGAAACTGTGCTGATTGTTTAGATCTTCTGTGTTGTCCGGGGGACAGTGGATGTGAAGCATCCATGTTTCCACAGACATGGATGTAAATTGTAAGAGAAACTTGACCTTTGCGCAGAGGCATACAACCTCGGGGCGATAATTCTAGTTTAAACTAGTACTAGTCCTGCTATTTAGTGTGGAGTAAGATGTCAACTGATGAACACCACACAGAGACTCCCTACATTTTCATGTATTTAATTTTTGTTATGTTTTAATTGACAGGGTTTTTGCTCCCAAGTGTGCCTCCTGCAACCAGCCCATTCTCCCAGCCCAGGTAAGGACCTTACCTAATTGCATATCATATCTAACATATCTTACTTATCAGTAAAGTTTGTCATTTCCAAGAAATATACTACTGAATTAACCAACTAAACAGCCAACCCTGCCTAGAAAGAAGCACGATGGTGCTTGATTAACAGGGCTAAAAACTCATAAATCTTAAGTTTAATGACATCATGAAACTAAAATAGATATTAAAGTTTTTATTTATCACGTATGTCTTGCATTGATCCTCACCTGTACATCAGTATCTGGCCCAACAATGACAATCATTCTTAATAGCTTTTTAGAGTTTGCCTACTACATTTCTATTGGCTACCGTGACAAGTCCCTCCCTAGCTTCCTGTTGTTACAGGAAACAAGTAAATATATGGAATCACATCCACTAGCCATTTGAACAGGACTTAAATGACACATTTAATATCACTTTTGCAGACAAGATTGTATAGGTTCAAAGATAAACATTGGATGAGATATTTTTCAAAATGAATGTATAGCATTTTAAAATTTAGACGGCCATCTGAGACAAATGTGCATCAGGTCTTTGATTGTCTTGGTTTCTATTCATGTGTCATGGAGCAAACAAAGAACTAATCCCTGTTTTAATAGCCACTTTTATCGGCGTGCAGCAATGTTATCATAAGATCAAAAAAACATCCCAAACTTTCTCCTTCTGTTAGCCATAAAACCATGTGTATGAATAGAGCAGCCCCGGTCTATCACTCTGTACAGAGAGTGTGGAGCAAGTTGTGTGTGTGTTGCTTCAGGACACATGGCAGCTGCGGGGATCAAACCTGAGACCTGCTGGTTATTGGACCATCACTTTAATGAGACACTAGACTGATGTAATGTGAAGGTCTGAATGTGCGTTTGTCCCACCAGGGCTCTGAGGAAACCATCCGGGTCGTTTCTATGGACAAGGACTACCATGTGGAGTGTTACCACTGTGAGGTGAGATGCGCCTGCTGCCTGTACTCTATCCACACACACAGTCAGACACACGTGGTATGAGTAAGAGCAGTTTACCGTGCATGTGATTTGACTCGAGTCAATTCAGCACCACTCTGTATGATTCAACATTTTCAGGCTGTTGTAAAACACAGAAAATATTTACACACACAGCTCACACTGTTGAACCACACACATACCTGTGCGTGCACAGACGCATTCATGTGCACATGCACTCAGGCCCACAAATACAATGAACCAGGGTAAGAGCTGCAAATCGTGGGACGAAACCAGACTCTGAGCGTGAATCACCACTGCAGTCTGCTGCTGAATGAATGACACACACACACACACACACAGAAAACACACACAGACGGATACCAACTCAAGGTTATAGCTCAACATTGTGACTCATTGACAAACACATTCCAGTGTTGAGCTCTGAACTCAGCTGGGGACTTGTTGCTCAAACCAGACTTGTGAAATCCCAGTCATCCTGCCACTCAGCTCCGTCAGATGGTCTGCAGTTCATGTGTGACAGAAAGGTTAAATGAACAAATCGCACCATCCTGTAGTGATTCAGCATTTTTTTTATCAATTGGAAATACTTAAATGTGAGATATTTCTACTGTCCTCATGAACAGAATAAAACAGTCTAATTTCTATGAATGGCTGACATCCCACTTCACAGAAATGGATCAGATCATTATGTAAGCAGCGGGTAATGATTCAGCTGATGTGTGGAGAGGGGGGCTTGTGGACAGAGGAAGGGTAAAGTCCAGAGCTGAATCATCCGGGAGACTGTAAATTCATTACATATTGAAAAAGAAAAAAAACGTGTTTTTCAGATTCTGTAACACATTTTTTCAAGGAGATGCAACAATACTAAGCTGAAGATGCAGTGTGATTCACACGCACATTCATTTATAATGCAAGAATTTTCAGCCGCTTTATCCAGGTATGAATCGTGATAGCTGCAGAGTGGTTGAGAACCAGTTTATGTAATTCTACTCCCCATGGGGTCTCACCCCTGTCGGATGTGCAGAGAACTCCTCCGCAGCTTCAAGGTTCAATGTATTCATTCATAAATGCATGGAATTTGCAGTGTCAGCCAACACAGATATGTAAAAGAAATACACAAAAAATGCACAAGATAAGACAGGGACCTGTCTGTGAGGCACACAGAACTGGCTCCTTTCATACTCAGAATTCCTTCTGGACATCTGAACTCAGCACCCTTTCACCCTAGGGTCCAGTAAAACAGCCGCATGACTGAAGTAACTATTGCCACATTTCCACTGCATGGTTTACCTCGGCTTGACTCAACTCACTTTTGGTACCAGGTCCTTCTCTCCATTTCATTTTATATTTTTATTGTCAGCTGATGGCAATAGTGACACCCCATGAAACTGCCACAATGTCATCTTCAATGCAGCACTCACTGAACCCTTTCATTGGCGACAAACCTGAGGAACATCTGAGTCGAGTGAATTCGGAAATTGCAGCCGCTCTTGATGGTAGCTTGGCTATTTTAAAATGGCAGGTTTGTGCAGGATGTCTTGTGTTGTACTGGTGATGGTTCTCTCTGACTCACCAGTGGTCTGCAGTGTTTAAACTCCATCTTTTAACCTAACCTAAGCCCAAAGTTGTACCAAAAAAGTACCTTTTAACAGGTAGTATCCAAAATTTATGCTAATAGAAAACCGAAAAAGAGCGAGTTTTGTTGAGTAGAGCCGTGCCAGTGGAAATGCAGTGGAAATGCTGCGTATGTTAGTGCATTAAGTCCACCCTGCCCCTCATTGAGCGCTCACTCACCACCAAAACCCAACAACTCACTCTCAGTGATTACAGTTTTCTTTTAAATACTTATCGTATGAGATGACAATAAAAGTGATAATTCAGCAGATGTGAGCTTAAAAGAATAGTTCAGTTCACTCACATCTGGGTTTAGTTATTGATTGTCTTTGTGGTTTGTTCATGTTTCTGTCTTTATGCCACTCTCTCAGGACTGTTGTCTCCAGCTAAATGACGAAGAGGGCCACCGTTGTTATCCACTGGAAGGCCACCTGCTCTGCCATGGCTGCCACATCCACCGGCTCCAGTCGCAGGTCCCTGCCCACCTGCCCCCCAGCTACCCCCTCCATGTCACTGAGCTGTGAGGGGGAGAGGAGGGTGGGCAGCAACCATGCCCTGCCTCCCAGGTGATCCGAGACACCAGCAGTGGGGGAAAGAAGGCCTGCACCCCCTCCAGCAGTTCCAGGGAAGCCTCTGTGTGGCCATCTGAGCTACTGCCCCTGTCCTCAACTGGACGGCCAGGCTGTGGACTAACACACTCAGCTCCCACCACAAGCCCTGCTGTCATATGACAGGGCTGGGAAAAAGGGTCCCCCTCCTCCTCCATCTGTGGTCCTTTCCTCCCCTTTCCCCTCGGGTGCCTATCCCTGAAAGCCAACACGCCGGCTCACCCAGAGGCCCCCGGTGACGTCACACAGCCTGACCCCTGCACATTCATCAAAGAGAGGGTTTTCGGATTGGAGGGGAGGACGCACACTCGTCTCTCTCCTAGCTTCCCTCTCTTCCTTTCCATGTTTTTCATTCCTGTGCTCTGACTGAAGCGGTTTACCGCAGTGAATTCACCAGTGCTGTCACGTCTGAGAACGCCACTGATGTCGGCGTCAGGGAGGCCAGGGAACGAGCCACTACATTCCAGTGCTGGTTGGACGGGACAGACCCCAGGGTGGGCATGCTGTGCCTTCAGAGCGGGCTCTCTCCATGCAGCTTCTAAACACTGAAATGGAGTCCTGCTAAAGGCTATGCAAAGGACACCCAGCATCATGACACAGGGCTGTGAGAAAAACTCTTAACTCAAGCTCATCGCCCTGCACCAACCCCGAAATAACAGATGCACCGTAGCACCACAAGCCCAGAGGACCGACTGACATTCCACTTAGAAGTCTTAGACGAGACCTCGAGAGATTCACAAGCAGTGTCTTAATTAATGATTATATTATGACAGAAAAAGAAAATTTTAGATGCACATAGAATGTCTTTTATATATGAATATATATTTTGCAGATGTTTTCCACATAAGATCATAGATGTAGATTCTCATTTATTTGTTTTTGCTGCGCTTGCGATAGATTCAGAGGTGAAACACGTTGTCTGTCTTGAAGCCTCTGAAGATTTCAGGTCTGTTGTATCATTTCTCCTCCAGGATGCAGAGCCTCTACATGTCTGTCAGTGGGTCACAGATCCACTGGCTCAAATGGTATTTGCCTTCAGTTATCTTTTCCCACTTTGAGTACCAAATGTTTAGCGCCAAAAGCTTGTTGAAGGCACCAGTCTGTTCCTTTTAACCTACATATCCCAGCTCTCTCTGCTAATAGACATTTCTGCATACCTTAAATTCACCATCTTTGGTTAAACCTAAATCAGTGTATTTATTGTAAATGCAAGTTACTAAAAAAGTAATAGTAAATTGAAAAACTTGACAGATTTTGATCACTGTGTATTTGTGTCACAACTGATGCCAGCACTATCTGTGTTTGAAACATACAAGCTGATCTCGTTAGCCTCTGGCTCTAAACAAGCAGTTAATTTGAAGTTCTGTGTGATTCCTTGTATTTTCATCGTACCTAATTCTCACAAAAATGTAACAAAGCATTTAGGTCCCTTATCTTTAGACTTTTCAGAATTGCACATTCTGACCTTCTGTCAAGGGTGCTACTATTTTGCCAAGTTATCACACAGAGCTTCGAGATTAAGATTAAAGCTTAATCTTAAAATCTAAGAGCTTAGCTAGAAATTGGTCTTTAAATACGGAGATTTAGGCCCCGTGGTTGAGCAGCAAAAGACTGTTGACTAAAAGACATTCAGCAGTGGTCATCACAGAACCAAATGCAAACTGTTGAAGTATATAAGCTAAATAAGTATTAATGAGCTCTGTGGTTTAAACTATGAAAAGGCATTAAGAGACAGAAGAACTCTGATTGGAAAAGATTTGGTTGAACATCTGTATGTTAAATAAACAGAGTGCTTGTAGTCGTGAGACAAATAGACAACATGTTGCATGCAGCTCATCAGAGGGACTGATCTGGACTAAAAATCATTTCATCAATCAACAACATATACCTATTCCACATTTATGCTTATATATCATTTTCCAGTGCTCACAAGCATTTGTTAATGACACAAGTCATCTGGTGACTGTAATGGTTTTCTGAGCACCCATAGCTACGTTCCCCCAGAGAGGAGCCTAATGTCAAAGGTCCCAGGTCATTTGAAAGTAATTTTCTGCCACCGACACCTGTCAGTGTCATCATGCGGCATCTGGCCCATCTGGTACTCAAGAGAAAAAGAAACAGATTAATTTATTTATTTGCAAATACCTTTTTGCCCCAGGTGTGTTCAAGGCACTGTTTCCTGGTATGTTTTTTTCCAGACACTGGTTTTATGTCATATGAGCACTGAGAACACAGTGCGTTTCTACGAGGAACCTCCTCTTGTCCGCATGCCTTAAAGACAGAACAGGTATGTTTGTGTGTCTCGCTCTGGTTTGCCATGCAGTCTGCTGTCATGTCGTGGGGGGACGTCCCTGAAAATGCGGAGCTGCTGGTCTCACCCGTGTTTTTAGGGAGTCCGCTCATGTTTCCCATGCTGGTTGTGTGTGTCTGTTTGTGTGAATGCAAAAACAAAAACTACATGAGACAAAAACACTTGAAACTCTGAGCTGTAGTGGTGCTGGGAAAAAAAGTCTCACCCCTCTGCACTTGGTTACTGTCATCTTTTTTCCCCTCAGATTGGCACTCAGTAGATCATTCCCTGTACATGTCAGATCTTAAGGTATTTTAGGAACCTTCTGTTATTGAGGAAAATTCTGCCTTGCTCTTGCATTGAGCAAAAATCTGGTGTAGCTCGACGGTAACTATGCCTGCTTATTTCAAAGACGAGCAAATTGTGAATGTGTTTGTGTGTGTGTGTGTGTGTGTGTGTGTGTGTACTAGTGGCAGGGCCATGGCACATGCACCTCACTGTGTTTGCAGGGCAGTGCAGCATCCAACACAGTGACCCCTGCTCTCTCTGTTGTAACCCAGTGATGATTTTGATGACTGCGTCCACCCCAACTTCTTCTAGATGTTTGTGTCTAAATCTTAGTGTTTGTTTGAACTTTGGTGTGGTAGCATCATATTGACGGTGTGTTCAAGTAACTAATATATCATCCTCTGACTACCACCTATCTGGTATTCAAACTAGAACAAAACAAGCACCAAGTATTACAGGCAAACACTGGCTCCTATTCATATATTACTGTACACGCAGGTCAGAACAAATACTACTGAATGTGTGATGAAAACAGAGACTGAAGCAGAGACTGAAGGCAGGGGTCACCACAGGCAGGAAGTGCTTTCTAATGTAACCTGATGTGATGAGATTCACTCGAATGTAATGATGGTTAGTGTTGTATATTTGTAAAAGCAGAAAAGGACAGCATATGTGAGACATTCCCCTTGTTATTTGATCAACCTCAATTTTGTATAAGGGTTCTGGTCAAGTAATGTGTGCTATACTTGAAGAAAGAGGCATTTTTTGAACTGCACCATATCAACCCCCCCCCCCCCCCAAGAAAAACTTAACAAGATCAGAGTGCTCCCCCTTTAAAGATGTCTTAATTCACCATTTTAAAAGTACTACTTCAGTTTCTATTGCATAGCACACAGCTAGTTACCCTGTACATAAAGAGGATAGTTTTTGTTATTTTATTTTTCTGTCAAAAATCACTTGGAAAGAGAAGACTTCTTCTCCTACTGGTAGTTCCAACAAGCACATCTGTCACACATCTTTTGTAACGCTAAGTGTTTTGATTACCTAGATGGTTCATAAAAAAAGGAAACTAGATCTATTTATCTAAACATGAAAAAAGTCTAAAGTTATTTAATGTATTAAAAATCGGGACGTATCATTTAACTGTAGATGACATAATCTGCTTTTTCAATAAAGTGGTTTTGTAGCTAACTGCAAAAAAGTCTGGTTGTTCCTTATGTGCTGTTTTTGTTTTTCTTTCTGTCATGTTGTATAAATCAAGAACCCCTTCTTTATCACTCTAAAACTGAAATTCCACATATTTTGGGTAAGCAGATATTAAGCTATATGTAGAATAACAACAATTACTCATAATGTACTAAAATGTTTGCGCTTGGCAGGCTGTAATTATCAATGACAGATTATGACACTGAATGAAATTTGTCCTAAATAATACTCTTTAAAAAGAAATGTTTGCAGTCAGATGTATAAATCATAAGAAACTATCTTTCAATGGTCTCTGAGGACAGAATGCAGTAAAATTACAGCTGTGTCATTCAAAGCAGCATTGACATGTCACAGTTGTGACAACATGAACAGTTTTGGACGTGTGTGTTCTCTAAGGCTGCTGTGAGTGACAGGCTCTGTTACAGTAGTTTACATTTGATTTGTCTCAATTTTCACAACGGAGTTTCACTTAGCAAAATGCTTGTTCCATTTTCAGCTCTGGATGCTAAACATGAAGCTGCAAACTGTAACTAGACTGATTCTCATCAAAATAGAGTAAGCAGTGGTCATTTCCTCACAACTTTACAAATAGAAATGAGAAAAAAATGCAATTATTTATCTATTATTTAAGTCTTTACGCTACAGTATGACCAAGATTCATACAAGGCAAAATGATGATTGCAATTGTACTTCAGTGCCTTCATTCATTTGCATCAGTCTATTTTTGCTTTTCTGTATCTGTATGTAATTTACAGTAAGCTATGGTTTTGACTAATCGATTGATTTTATTCATGGATTATCAGACACAGAAACAAAAATCTTAAGGAAAAAGAAAACACTTATTTTTAACATGGTCCTGAGATGTTAGGAGTCAAAAGAAAACACACACACAATTTCTTGTAATTCCATCTTTGTGAGGACCCTCACTGACATAATGCATTCTCTAGCCCCTTACCCTAACCTTAACTATCGCAACTACATGCCTAACCCTAACCTAAACCTAATTCCAACCTGAACCCTAAAACCAGGTCTTAACCTTCAAAAGGCCTTTGAAAATGTGAGGACCAGCCAAAATGTCCTCCCTCTGCAAAAACGTCCTCTCTCTGCTGCTAAAATATGTATTTTGGTCTTCTCTATGTAGCATGTACAAGTTCACAGACACACACGCAAAGAAAACTAAACAAACATATTTCTGAAATCTGAAATCTCATCCCCACAGTTTAAGAAAAGAAAAAATATCCCCTACATCACAAAACAAGAACAGCTGAAATGTCATTGCAAATTTCATTGTAAATATGTTACCTTGTTCCATGGCGAAGCTCAAACCTGACTTCTATTAGCCCCTCTCATATTTAAAGAAGGATGTTTCACAACATGGCACCATTTTAAAAAAGGAACTTCTGGCTACATTATTCAGAAGAGCCATTTCAGCCACATGAATACACGCTGGCCCTGGTTCATAGTCATGCTGAGTATGGACCATTGTTGTCTGAGAGCACAAATACTGAGAAGCATACCCATTGACAGTCTATTGTAATGTTGAAAAGCATTCATTAAACCACAATTTATACCACTGTAACAGATAATTCATTGCAGTGTTTTTACAGTAATTAAAAAAAAGATTGTTGCATTTGTTTTTCTATTATTTTTCCCACTACAGCTATTCATTTAAAATTGATGGTACTGAATCAGTGATCTGGACTCTAGTAGTAATAAGAACTGAAACTTCTTTTACAGAATGAAACTGAGCCAAAGCAATTGCAAAATAATGTCAGAGTTTAGGGAACGGACAGGAACATGTGGAGACGAGTCAAAAATGGTTTGGAGTTGACCATTTACAGTAAGTGGTTTTCCCACGGCCGGGATGGTTTCTTAGTGTTTGGGATGGAGATGAGACTCAGATGTTGTTGCCCAGTGTTTCTACTGGACTGTTAACTCTCTGTTAAAGTCATATTCCCTCTCCTCTCCTCACCCTAATAGCACCCTTCTGTGTCTCTGTCTTAATGTCTTGTGCTGACAAGTGTCTCTAATATGATCATCCAGGGATTACTTGATTATGGTTGGATCACTCAGGCTGTTTTCACTGTGCTCTTTTAATATTGCTCGCCTCTAATGCTGCTGTTTTACGCATTGTATTTTACTCTAGTCAAGATTTTTTTTTATATAGCAGTAAATGACAACTGACAGTCTAAAAAGGCTTCACAACATCCACATTATGAAACTATGAATAAAACTACAGTTACAACTTCACACCCCAAAAAGGAACAACACAAATTCCCACAAAGTGTCATTAGCTACACTGAATATGTGCTGGGGACACTGTTGTCTGCGGTTAGTAAAATACTGCTGTGTAATTACATCCCTGCACGCAACCTTCCAGCCTGTCATGTGGTGGGCTCTCCCTCCTGGGACGCCACTCAGCACTCTGATGGTCAGATAATTTGAAGCCTGGAAAAGCACGCCCACAAATAATCCTTCACCCAGAATGGTTTATAAACTAAGGGAAAAATAGATGAACATGAATTTAAACAGTATGAGAAGAGAGATAAGAAAAACTAACTTTCAAGTTACATTATAAACAATTTATGCTGACAAAACCCCTGATTTTGAGGTGCATAAATGATCAGAAAGAGAATATTTTTTGGAAAAGCCTTCAGATTTGTGCAACTATAACTCAGTTCAGTATTAAGATTGCATCATTAAAACTGCTCTTTACTTGAATAAAGCTGTGCTGTTGAGATGAATGAGGAGACTGCACCCCTGTGGTGTTGTATTGTACAACATTTGGGCTAATTGGAGCATAAAGTAGGTTGATTACAGAAATGTCAAATACGAAAGTGTGAATCTTCCTCTGAACCTTCAAACTACATCACATTCCTACAAAATGTCCTCACATTAGGATTAAGGTTGATAGAGGGGAAAAGCTCCATCAACTTTTTCCTTTACTGTGCATATGTTTTGCTTTATCCATTAGCAGTACTGTAAATAATTGTGATTGCATCTCCATTAGACACCTTTGGTCGTTATGTAACCAGGCAAGTTAATTCAGATCACACTGTGACAGGCAGTAAAACACTGAGATGATAGAAATGCTTCATAAAGCATTTTGGACCTCTGATTTGAAATGAATAAATAACAAGAAGAAAAGAAAAATTTCAACAGAAGAAACCATAACAGGTGGAAAAAGTACCCACCTGTTGAATGTTTAGTTAAAGCATGTCTTGGTTTCTGGACATGGTAATGCATTGCAGTGGCTATAAACCCTCAGGAGGGTTGTACCCCAGTACAGTAGGTCAACAATAAAGAGGCCTGAGGAGCAATGAAAGAAACAGTTACTGTTTTTAACCCCTGCACTCCAACATTTCCACACTGATGTTGGATTTAAACCACCAATAGCCTTTTCTATAGGATTTTATGGCTGCTTTGCATGCACCAAAGTTCTCTTAGACCGTTGGCTTTGCATGTAGACTGTAGTTAAATAGTGTAGTTGAACCTTGGATCTGCATTCATTGATTTTTTTGGCCATTTGGATGAAGTGCAACAAGGTCTAAATCAGGCGGCAACTACCACAACCTAAGGCTGAAGCCAACGCAGTTACCTTAAGATGCAATACCACTGCTGGCCGCTAGATGCTGCCTCCAAAACAACCCCGGCTCCAACTGACCTCTCTTCCAAAAAGATCAGCTTGTATCGAGAAATAATAAGTCAGTTTGTTTTTCCATGAACCATAATGGTCTCACTTGCTGAATTCAGACCTTTGAATAAAGAAATTATTGCTCCATTAATACAGTTTTAAGGCTTAATGCTTTAACGCCCACACTGTCTTGTGGCAACACGCCGTCCCCATCTCCAGGACATATCATCACCTTAAACAGCTGCTATGGCTAAAGTCTTAGCTAGTGGCTTAGTTACACATCCAGCAGATACGGAGAATACCATTCATTAGGAGTTGAGTTTCTGTCCACCTGACGAATGTATGTCCAAAATCACTCTCTTGTTAGCTCTATTTTTAGTCTCCACTAACTCCCACAGTGCATCATTATCTGCATTAAATATGTGTGTGGTTATGTTCTCCACAGTCAGAGAAATACTGATGCATAGCGGTAATATCCTAAAATCAGGACATGAGTTAGCATTTTTGCACTTTAGGTTCCCTTGTCTCAGAGTCAGTGGGTTTTTTAATGGGTTTTTAGTTACATGCAGTGTGCGGACTATACCATGGCTTTCTGGGGAGCTCACTTTTTTTTCCCTGCCTTAAAGAGAGGACCGACCATATAAACCTCCACACCAGTACATAGCATACCTGCATGCCTGCATCTTTATTAAAGTGATTTATCACATGCATGAACCATTCATCAATAAGAGTCTGATATAATGCATGATTGTTGATGATTAAGATACAAAAATTATAATTACATGGTAAAAATAGCATATTGTCAGTATGCTAGACCCCCCCAAAAATGTCATGTTTTTAGGAGAGCTCATGCCTTATGAAAAGAGCTCAGCTCCCCCTGGTTAGATACCTTGAATAAAGTCAGTGGTTAACACAAGCTTAAGAGATTTTCACGTTTTGTTCTGTGACATAAAATATGTAAATTAATACACTACAGGTGAATTTTGAAACTTTTACATGTCTTAAAAAGGCGGTTGCTATCAAGTGGCTATATGGGGCTTCAGAGGATGCCCGGGATATTGAAAGCCATCTAGTCACTCGTCCACCTTTAGTTGTGGTGATGTCGAAATCACCTGACCTTGATGTAGTTGGTTATAGCCTGCCTAACATTAACTTTTTGGTTCTGGTGATTGCATTTATGCTTAAAAATCATAAAAGCGGTGTTTGTGAACATTATCTTGATGAACAAAAAATGAAAGTATCATCAACTTTTGTTTGCCACAGAGCTTATTTTCTGCAGTAATCCAAAATACAATGGGAAAAATCCCATTGGCTGTTTGTGGAGGGATTCAGCGCGATGCTAATTTCCAGGTTGGCTTACA